GAGAGAGAGAGAGAGAGAGAGAGAGAGAGAGAGAGAGAGAGAGAGAGACGGTGAAAGAGAGACGAACGGCGGAAAGAGGAAGAGAGAGAGGAAAGAGGACAGCGGCGGACACGGAGAGAGAAGCGTTGGCACCGATCTGGTACCGATCGTTCTGCTATCAGAAAACTGCCGGCGTGGCGGCCCCGAAACCGTGCTGCAGAAGTTGAACACCGTGAGATTGGCGCGCGGGATTCGTTGTGCGATTAAAGTGCCGAGAAAGGAGTGAAAAGAGCGCAACGAAGAGGAGAGGAGCGGTTACCTTCGGCAGATCAGCGAGTCGCCGAGACGATGACGCAAGAGGTAAGTAAGAAGCAAGACGGACCCTCCTCGTTGGCTGGCCTGGAAGCGGGAACGCGTCGAAGTCGCTCTCGTACAACACTATCCTACATCGGATGGGTCACCACAGAGCACCAATCTATCACGAATATTCACTCTTCCGTCACGTCGCGCGAAACTCCACGCCGTGGACCGTTTCACCTTCGACCCGCACGGCGGTCTGGTCTGGTCTAGTCGCTCGTGATCCACGATTCAATCGCGGAATCGTGGCTCGTCCACGTCGCACGGTTCAACCACGTTGCGTTCCCGATATGGCACTCGCGCGCGATCGCGTCCGCAATCGCCAGGTCTAACGACAGGCTAGTAGTCGACGAGAAATCGCGTTGCGTTCTCCAAGGAGGAGGCTGTCCGTACGTCGGCTGTCGTGTTATCAATGTCGTCGTCGCGCTCGCGACGCGCGGAAGGATCCAGAATCGCGGGTACCAACACGTAAACGGAACGCGCGGAACCGCTTGCCGCGTACGAACGGCTCCTCCGTACTGCCGCGCGGCGCGGACCGTGACAGCGGATACCATTCGAAGGTTATACCTCCTGGTCCGCCATGTGCAGCCGATGGCCTGTCCGCCTGCCTCCTACCTGCCTACCTCCGGAGTTTTGCACTCCTGCCTCTCTCCCCCCCCCCTTCTTTATCGCGATACCGTACGCGGCCACCTGGAGCGTTTACCTGGCGAACGTCGCGGATTCGCACGAGTCCTCGCGGAATCGCCCGATGATCGCCCCCTGAACGCCGTTCGAATTTTGCCGCGCCGCGGACCGCGGAACGAGCTGCTCGCCGAGCTTCCTCGGACCGCATCTTTCTATCGTTATCTGTTCTTAAGATACTTCAGATCGTATTGACGCCTTGAAGCTCGTTTTTATCGTAAAAACGGACCACGTGATCAAAATTAACGCTTGACAATTTTAACGACATGGTTTAGTTTGACATTAACAATGAGCATTAAGTGTTAGCATAAAATTGTACCTTAATTGTTTCTGCCAATGTAGATTAAGGATGTTTTGGTTGTACAATATCAGCTAAAAGTATCAACCAAAAAAACTAATTTCAATTAAAATCAGTCAAAAAATGTTATCATACTGTAGAGAAAAAGATACTTAAAATATTTATTTGTAGAATGATATAATGTTTATTTCGTTAAAATAAATTTTATTTAAACACGCGGAAATAAAGTTTTTACTACTACTATTTTATTTTTTTATATGATTAATAAGAAAAATTAGGTATATTTCACGAGAACGTATACTCTGTCGTCACAATCCAATATTTTTATAATTAATAAACATTTCAAAAATGTCACAAGTTACATTTGTTTCGAATATTTTCGACTTTTTTTCTTAGTGTGAATGCTGTGTCTAAAACCAACTGTATAACACACAAATAAAATAACAAATTATTTTTTAATTGCTTATGCGGAGCAATTATCATATTTCACTGCAGTTTTAAGTAAATTAGTTTTAAAACGAGTAAATAAATCCAAATAAGCTATTACGTGAATTTTTATTAGTTTCATTAACATATAAAAAATTTAATTTAATTTGTAATGCTACTTCCTCATTAAATTTATAAATAAATACACTGAGAATTGGTTGAAAATAATCGAGTAAGACCAGTAAGATTCTGATCATATTAATCAGATTTCTGGTCCTTATAATTGAACATTTAATTATTCCAATTAGAAATATAATAGATTTAACTAGAAAATTCTGTCTATATTTGTCTATATTTTCAATCAGAAATTTTTCTCAGTGTAAAACATTATTTTATATAAAAATTAAAACAAACAAAAAAATTAAATAACTTTTAAACCAACAACAAAAATGTATCTAAATTTTACATAAATATTTAGATGTAATAATAGGAGAATCCATGAAATTTTCATAATTTTGATAATTTGAGATGTGTGGCACATACAACCTTAAATTTAATTTTTCTAGGTTCAACTTACTCTCTCTCTCTCTCTCTCTCTCTCTCTTTATCTTTCTTTCAATTCTTAGAAGAGATAAAATTAAAAAATGATAAAAAGTAAGTTAAAATTAATCTACATTAACAGAAATTAACATCAAATGTACTTAATCGCCTAAGAAATGCGCCCAAATTTGGTCCAATAAATTCGTAAACACCACTTGATAATTAAACAAACTGTGTTATGCGCGGGATTTGAGCAAACGTAATGCTGTTCGTAAAGTAAAATGAAACAGATTAATGGAATGATTATTGGAATAATTAGAATATAGAAATATATTACGGGTACTGAGATACTCGGCAAAAATAATGATACAGAGGGAGACGTTTCAAGTGATTAAACGAATTAAAGGGCTTGCAATTCGCGTTGACTTCAAGGATGCTATATTGAAATCGATTGAAATAAGCCTGTTATCAGCGGCGCTATTCATATGAATGAATCACTGTATTATCATTGTACCCGACACGTTATCGTCTTTGTTAGACACGAGCCGACAAGGCTCGGAAAGGAAGGAAAAAAAAAACGAAATAATTATAACAGTTTCAAAGCGTACTAGCGTGCAAATCTGTGTATGTATTCATAGTTCTCTCACGCGGAACTTCCCTTGACATGTGACTCCGCTACTTTTGACAGAAAGGAATGCGGCATTCGCGCTTGAAAAGATTTTTCCGGAATTTTTCAAATATTCCCTGGACTATCATTCCGAGCACCGTTCGTTGGAAAATTGTGTCCGGCAGGAGCGTGTCAACATCAATTGCGACTTCGTCCCAGACTCTGCGATCGAATTCTTATTTTTGTCCCCCGTCAAAGTCTGTCGTCGCGCGTGACGTCCTATGGAATGTTTAAAACGTTGCGCGTTTATTGAACGAGGGCGGAAACACGATACGGGACACGAAATCGACTGTGACCCGTCTATTTGAACTGTATTCAAATACGTACGAGCGTTTGCCCAAGCACGGTTGTAATAGAGCGGCAATTCCATCCGCTTGGTAATGAAATGTCTCATTTGCTTTAAAAACATCTGTTCAAAGAATACCACGTCGCCGGCATTGGAAATAACGAGGGAAAAGGTGAATTTACATGAAAAGTAAGTGTAGCTGCGTTTGTTTCAGTTCCTCCTGTCTTTCACTTTCTCCCATTTCCTTTCGTTTTAATCTCTCCATATTTTTACGCTTGTTATACATTTGTACTTGTAGTTCAAAATTTGATAAAAATTGTCTATATAACTCCTTTGACGCGCTTCACTTATTTCTGTTTCTTTTTAACTTTAAATGCCCAGAAATATATAATACATTCAAAAATGTAGAGATATAAAAGATAAGAGAGAATCGACTCACCCACGTTCCTGCTTCCGCTTCTCCGAAGACGCAGACATATTGTTCGAGAGTCGATGCACTTGAATCAAAGAAAACACAATTATTTGTATTATGCATTAGGAAAATATAAAAATAAAATATATATACATATTTGCGATGTATTACATATTTTCTATCTCTCTTTTTATACAACGTCTTTTTATTAATTATATTGTCTTATTTCAAGAGAACAATGAGAGTTTATGAAGAAACGTTATGACAAATCCATAAAATATAACGTGCGATTCTAAATATACTTGAAAAATATAATGACAGAGATATATTAATGTAATTACCTCATGTATGTATTGAATGACTTCGGTATGAGTTGCATTTTCCAAGGTGCGACCGTTCACTTCTAAAATTTCATCGCTCACCTCCAGAGTGCCATTATCCGCTGGCGATCCTGCATAAGCGAATATAATCTTACTATAATTTATAAAATTTAATTGCAATAATGCTTAACGTCAGAGAGAAAAAAAATTTTAATGAATTTTAATAAATGACTCTGATACACATTGTGAATATTAATCGCATTTCGCGTTAAATGGATTCTGTAACGTGCCTTCGAACGCGATATATCGCATTCAATAATCCGCATTGAAACGAGACATCGAAGCTTGCAAAAATCCATGTTTAACCGCCTGTGAATGTAACGTATAATCTGCTTCGTAAACGGAACGTACCTGCTAATGAGCACGGCCATTTAAAGGACACTGCGCGCAAACGAATTGTAAAAGCAACCGACTGCATTCTTTCCTACGGCGTACAAAACACAAAATGATCCGGAAAAACCTTTTTCTCCAGATAAAACGGAAGAACAGAATATTGATGCTACCGATTTATCTATCCCTTGTAATTCGAACATCGATAACGAAGAATTAACATACCGTGGCTGTGATTTAAATACGTAAAATACGTAAAAAAATAATAAAACGCGCGTACAAGTTACATATTCAAGTATCACCGACGTTAAATATATCGTTTGTAAAGATTGTTTAAAAAAAGGGGGGGGGGCGAGGGGAAGTTTTAAAACTTCTAAGAAAAATATCCAACAGAAATGAAGGGAAAAAAAAAGGAGTGAAACATAAAATGAACAAGTACCTTCTTCAGGGCGATAAAGCGCGCGTTACGATAAGTAAACATAAAGGTCAGCCTATAAATAACACGTCGCGAAACACGTCCTCTATATGAATCGTCGTGCATTACTGTAACATGTCGCGTAAATCGGAAATCCGTCCGTCGCACATTTCCCGCTTCCGAAAGCGTGCGACGTGTGCATGACGTGCAAGCTGTGCGCATGATGATCGCTAACGAGAAAATTATCACTTCTCATTTAGATTCCTACGCATATCCCTGAGCGATCGAGGATAACCATATATAAAGAGACGCTCGATGTCGGTTCATTCGACAAATATTCAGCGAGCTATTGTGAACGTCGTAAAAAAAGAAAATCTAACAATAAAACTTGAAAATACTGTAGAGAGAAATTCCGTAAAAAGAAGACACGGCAGGGTCTCTGTATCAAGTAGACTCCCGAAGACCGGGCCGCGTGTATCTATATAAAGATAACGTTAGGCATGACTTACAAAACAAAAACACGGTGAGTGTTTTCGAAAATTTAATTTACAGAATATATTCTACTTTCTCATGGTTTATACACTCCGAGCGTTAATGATCTAGGTAGAAGAACAGATTGCAATAACGTTAAAGTGACTCGAAATAAATTATAACTGATTGAAAAGCGAATGCACCTCTA